GTCAAGTATAAAGAAGTTGGGTCTAGAGTTGAGTCATTCTCTTGGGCCAACCGCCTCCTCCAAGACATCATCTATCTCCTTGAAGAAATCTTGGGGCAGGGAAATGAGAGAAAGGCAGTGAAGGAAGCCCTTGGTTCCAAGTGTTCAGGTGATAATCTCATGTCCAGGCGTCAGGGATTTCTCCCTCAAGGTAACCATTTTTATCCTTCCTTCAATCTATCCCTCATTAGTGTTGTGACTCCAGGCATGTCACTTCATTTCTATATTTGATATATATATATATGCTCCATAAAATATGGATCACAGCCCCTATGCTGCTTACTCCACAGTGCTGAAAAGTTTCACAATAACAGATTCCCCACCCCCATTATAAGCTCTTACTCATGTCAAAGTGGAAAAGTTAAGTTCCCTCCTCTTATCTTGTAGCTTTCTAGTGTCCTCTTTGTAGGCAACCAATACTACATTCCTTACTTATGTATCCAGGTATTTAATGATCACACTTTTTAAAAGAATTTAGTACTTAGACCAAAAACAAGAAAGAAAATTAAGACATCAAAACTAGGATAGACAGTGATTTTGTACAACAATAGTAATAAGGGGAGGGGGAAGAGTAATACAATGATGGGTGATACATTGTAGAATTAGATATCCTTAATTCACTCCTATCCAACTTTAGAATTTTCTGTAGAGAGTGAGTTATGAACCTGTTGTGGGGGAAGAAGGAACTTTAAGTCTAGGGTTAGGACAGAGTCCAAAACAACTTAGGCTAAAAATCAAGCACAGAGTATTATCAGTGTGACAGAAAAGTGGTCCACCTACTTTATATGATTATAGCATCTGGAGGAAAGCTGTGATGGCTATTAAAGTTATTTACAGATACTGAGTCACATTAGGCTGTTTAAGTGACATCATACCATGCACATATCTAAATTAGACCATGAGACTTTTAAGTAAGACGTTTCAGTAAAATGCTATCTGATACAGTTGTTGGAGGAGTGACCCTGGACTTGTCTGGTTTGACTGTGTGTTGAAGGGGAAGGGTGTCTCCTCCAGGTCCCTATGCCACTGCATGAGACAGCCCCACTCCCGCTTATATAGGGGTGAGCAGTGAAGAGCCAGGTTAGGGTCAATAACCCTGGCCCCTTCTGGACCTGCTATCACTACTATTAGGGGAACCAGTTCAGATCTGGGCTCTGCTAGCTGGGGGGTGGGATGCCACAAGGCTGACATGCTGCAACAGCTGCACACATCAGTGCAGTAATTGGATCCACTGACACCCTGGTCCTGCCCTTCAGCCTTGAAAAGGGGCTGGGATCAGCAACCTCAAAGGCAGTGGATGGTGCCACTAAGAAGGTGGAGATTTTAATCCCCTTCCTGAGTGGGAGATGTAAGAGGGTAGTTGTTGGGAGCAAGGGGAAGAGCAGAGAGACCCCAAAGACTTTATAAACAGGAGCAGAGGATGTTCTTGTTCTTTTGGTGGACAACATTAACTTGACCTTTGGTCCCTACATTCCGACTGCTTCTGATGTCTACTGCTTCTGATCTCTGGCTAGATGTCAGGCCTTCATGTGAGGCACCAGGTCACTGCTCCTGATCAGTAGCATCCCTTTGATCCTACAGGTATGAGGATGACTGCAGGCTGTCATTGGAGGGACAGCTGCCATGTTCCACAAGTGACTTTTGGCTTAGACACTGCAACATGGACACCATCTAGGCTAGGACAGACTGCATTGGCCACATACTGACCTATAAATTTTCCTTCTCTCTTCTTCTTAGCTCCCAAATTTTTCCTCTATAAATTAAACTCTATTACTATTATTCTTCCCTTTTGGAGGCCATGCCCCATAACTGTGTGGGTGAGAACTCACCAACTGGGTCATCCCCAACCCGCACCCCAATTTGTTCAGTGTCAAAGTAATTGGAAAAGGAAAATGCTTTCATGAGCAAATGAAATTACTTAAGCTAATGCATTTTCCTAGTAGTATACCTGGCATTTAAAACTAAGGTACAATAGTAGAAAGCTAGGTAACAAAAAATAAAAACACACTGTGGCTTGTTCTAAGAAATTTTGTTTGAGTAGGTATAATCCCCTAAAAGTCTTGCTTGTTTTCTATGAAAAAGATGTCCCATATGTTTAAATAAAAATAGGAGAGTTGGACTGCTTTTGCTTGTCTAAATATATTAGAAGTCTAACACAAAACAAAACCTCTGGAGATGAAAGTACTTCACACTTTGGCTTAAATACAACACATTGCTTCTTAATCAGTTTCTATGACTGTACCTATCTTTTGTACTGCATTACAATGCTAGAGAGGATACATTTTTCTTTAACAAGTATTACCTTTTCTGTTATTTGTTTGTACTTGGCACAATAATTAATTGAACTTTGCCCTGATTTTCTGGGTGTCATTAGTCACCAAGTTTTTTTCCATCCCTCTTCATTTTCAAAACTCTAACTCTCCTCTTATTCTGTTTCTCTTTCTTTTTCTACCTAATTGGAATCAATAAGGCACAGGTACAAAAACAGCAGAGTCTAAAATAATTATAACTACCAGTCATGCCTGACTGCCACAACATACACGTTGGCATGAGTTCGCTGCCAATTCATCGGATTTTGCCAGCAGTCAATTATGTACACAAATAGAAACACACATACACAGTTTTTTGTTGCACTTATTCAAAATTCTCAGCCTGACTCAATCTACTCTTTTCACTCTTTTTTTTTTTTTTAAGATTTATTTATTTATGCATACAGAGCTGGGGTACCAGCCAGAGTTGCAGGGGCAGTGAGAGTCTTCACCAGAGACAGAGCGGGGAGCAGAACAGGCAGACTGATGAAGTACACTGCTGAGGGGAGCAGAGGGCGGGTCAGGAGAGGTCTGCTGCATCACGTGGGTCACTTCCGGGATGGGCAGGGATTGAACTCATGAGGAAGTGGCTTTAGCTTCTTAGTGCTGTACTTTAACCCACTGCACCATCAGGGAGGGCCCTACTCTTTTCACTCTTAAATCTAAATGATGTTATTAGTGTATTTTGGTTTTAACACTAAGACCAAACACTATGTATGACCATTAGCCAGTCTACTATCCTCTAATTCAGTTAGTGGCATCACAAAATGAATCATTTAAGCTAGAAATCTCTCCCACAACTATTCTTCCCAATAAATCAAGAAGTTCTGCTTATTTTTTACCTTTTAAATATTTCTCAAATTGCCCCCTCTCTCCCCTTACAACAATGCTGTAGTTCAAGGTTTTGGCCTTGGTTCCTATAACATTTTCCTCCATCTTACAGAATAAAATCTAAGAATCTTAACCAAGCACTCAAGACTACTACCTATTTTCTTGGCTCATTTGTCATTTTTCCTAGATCAAAATATTATGCTTTCGCAAAAAATAAACCACGCATAGATCTTGACCTATTTACAACTCTATTTCTTATCTCTGAGCTTTTGTTCAGTCTGCTTAACCCAAAATTAATGGCTTTCTCTTGAAATTCCTACTTACCACTAAGAGGAGCGCAGGAGCTGCATTCTCTGTGAAGCCTCGTGTGAAACTACTTTTCTTCCCTCCTGGTGAGACACCCTGCTTTTCTACTCTTCTTTTACTTTGTTCTTATCTATGTATTAGACTTCTGATACAATAGTATTTGTGTTTATCTTTCTCCATCACTGATCTATGTAGGTCAGGGACTATTACATATGACCTAGTTACAAGCAAGCAATATATGTTTATTTAATGGCTAAATAATGGAGAAGGAGGAGGGCAGGAAGAAGAAAAGAGGAGAAAGGATTATGTAGAATCAGTGTGTTAGCTTCAAGCTTCCAACCTTCAGAAAAATTGCACACTCCATCTCAATTCTACAAATTAGTCCCTGGTATTATAACAGACAGGAGGGAAAAAAACATGACAGAATGGAGATAAGATAAGAAAAGAAAAACTGAGGTGTTGTGGTGGACAAATAGTACCTTCCCTCCACAAAATGTCCATATCCAAGTCCCCAGAACCTATAATGCTAACTAGCATGGCAAATGGACTTTACAAATGTGGTCAAATTAAAGATCTTGAGATATCTTAGACTATCCAAGTGAGAATAATGTAATCACAAGGATCCTCATACAAGAAAAAAGGAGATGAGATCAGAGTCAGAGAAGGGAAATGTGACTATAGAAGCAGAGGAGAGTGAAACAGTGGCTGACTGAGGGCCACATGTCAGAGCACAGTGGTAGCCTACAAGCTGGAAAATTTGAGGATGTAGATTCTCTCTTGAAGCCTCAAAAGAAATCCTTTTGGCATTCTGACCCCCAGAAGTGTAAGATAATAAATTTTGTTGTTTTATATCTCTAAATTTGCAATAGTTTGTTAAGGCAATAATAGAAAAACAATATAAAAGATATATAAATACATATAAATAAACTAGGAATCCAGAAGTTATCTACAACTATTTCTCAACCTCAAAATATATACTCAAATTGCCACACAGATGGTACCATAATTCACTATTTTTAATAACTGTAAGAAATATTCACATACCATGTATGAATAACAAAAAGGGGTACCTGGATAAATGATAATATAATTTAGAAACTTTTAAAGATGGATATGAATAATCAAAGATTTAGCTTTTAAGAAAAATATTAGGAAGAATTTATGTTTACTATAAAAGGGATCTAAAAGAGATTTTACTAAGCAATCTAAAAGATGTGCTATTTTCATTTCTATAACATTTAAACATAAAAATCAAAAAGAAGAGGCTTATTTGTTATCTTATTTAACTTTTTAAAACTGGAAGCCATTACATCTCTCCTGCTCACCTGTTCCTTTCTTTTTCTTTCTCCTTTGCCTAATATACCTATAAATACCTAATTTGCTTAATTGTACTCTCTTCCTAACAACACCACTACACACACGCGCATGCGCGCACACACGATACCTAAAAAAATATGATGAGTGCTAATGTCAACTTATATCATAAATCTCACGGTCAGAGTTAAAACAACTTACTTTCCTTTGTCCTTTAACCATTCTGGGTTCTTTTCTTCTTCTTTTAAGTCACAAAGCTCAGGAATGTCAGTATTAATTGCTCTTCGTGCTTCTGCTTGTTTGTGTAGCCACTGAAATGAGAATGAAATCTAATGAATACAAAAACATTGCTTTTACCAGCAATGTTTACTATTAGATTTTCCATCTTCCTACATAAAATGAAAATACTATTTCCTGTGAACTGAATGTTTGTGTACCCCCCTCCCCAAATTCACATACTAAAGCCTTAACAACCAACATGTTGTATTAAAAGGTGAGTCCTTTAAGAGGTGTTAGGTTTAGATGAACTTGTGAGGGTGGACCCTTGCACGAAGCATATATTACCACCCTCACCCACACTGATCTTGGATGTCTCTAAAACTGGGAGGAATAAATCCTGTGTATTACACAGTCTAGGCATTTTGTTATAACTATGCTACAAGATCATGGTGATTTTAAGCTTCCAGTTTTTATACATTTGCTAAAACACTATTAGCTGGTATAATATATAAATATAGAAACACTTTTAGTCCATATTTCATACACATTTCTGGTAGTTAATGTGATGATTATTTTATCTTTTATATATAGATTTTTGATAATGAAAAATAAATTATTTTAGTTATAATTTTCTTAGTAAAAATTTAAATGTACTGTTTAATAAGAATTTCATATTTATAAATTATTGTATCTTAAGGATCTTCAATTATGAAAATAGTTATTTTCATAATTGAAGATCAGTTTAAAAAAAAGTAGTTCTTAGAGCTTACATTACTAATGATAAAATATTCAAAATTATAGGACTCAGAAATTTATAAATGGATGAAAGATATTAATTCCAAAATGTCACATCACTTAAAAATCCCTGTAATAGTAAATTATAATAACATATTAATGACAAATTTCCAGGCCTTTCTCACTAAAACACACACTAATGAAAAATTTAAAAATCTATTCTAGAAAATTACATGTTTTATAAAATAAATGGTAAGTGTAAGAGTTTATTTCTTGATATAAGTAACAATTCTGTATATTACACGTTATCCTCCTTCAGCATTCTGAAGCCAAAAAATTATACAACATATATTTTTTCTCAGAAGGATATTCTAGAAACATATTCATGAAGGCCTTTAGTGTAATGAATACTTTAGAAATTCAGAACCAGTTTTAGTTTTAAAAGATTAAATAAAAGATATTTTCATTTGTGATCACTGCAGTAAGTAGCAGTTATTTTTACCTCTTCTTCTTCTGCTACTTGAGACTCCCGAAGGGCAGTTGGAAAAACTCGAGGGGTAAAGTTGATTTTAATACTGCCAGTAGAGCGAGGAGCAGGAATACTGTCTTCCTTTAACTTTTCAAAAAATATATTTTCTGAATTTCTCCCTTAAAAGCAATATTAGCAAGAAAGTTATTTATCATTTTCTAAGTACAATCAAGCTGCCTTTTAAAGTAATGAACATCAAGCTATTTCTAAAATCCTCTACAAATAAAGCTTTATACTTTGTGCAAGTAGAAATGAAAAAAAAAAATCCATGCTTTAAAACTATGGCAACTAATTTTTTCTTTAAATAAGTACCCCAACTACTTTTCTGGGGTTCTCTTTGTCAAATAACATAGTATCTAATTTATATTAGTCATATGGAGGGTACTTTAGGTCACTCCAAATCAGCTCTAGAAGAAGGCACTGAGTCAAAGCCCTACTGCCAATACCGCCTGTTTCCTCAATTCTCAAAGCAGTACCTGCTATAAAATTCCTTGTGATCATATAAATTTTTTCAACCAGTCAAGATAGCTAATGAAAATAGGCAAAAAATAAAAAGGAAAAGTTACATAGTTCTATAAAGGTAGCTAGATGTAACAATGGTTAAGCCAGTGTAGAGGAGAAATTAATTCATGTGCCAGAATATAAAGTATATGAATAAAGGGAAGAATAAGTAGCTAGAAAAATGTAAAAATTAGAACTGAACTTCTAGTGGTGAACATAATGTAGCATATATACATGTTGATTTTTTTTTTAAGATTTATTTATTCATACAGAACTGGGGTACAGGCCAGTGATGCAGGGGGTGAAAGGATTCACCAGGGACAGAGTGGGGAGCAGAACAGGCAGATCAACGAAGTACACTGCTGAGGGGAGCAGCGGGCGGGTCAGGAGAGGTCTGCCACGCCATGTGGTCACCTCCGGGGCAGGCGGGGATGGAACTCATGCGGAAGTGGCTTTAGCTTCTTAGTGCAGTGCTTTAACCCACTGCGCCACCAGGGAGGGTCTATGCATGTTGATTTTTAATGTTGCACACCTGAAATATTTTTTTTAAGATTTTTTAAATTTATTTGTGCATACAGAACTGGGATACAGGCCAGAGGCTCAGGGGCAGCGAGAGGCTTCACCAGAGACAGAGTGTGGAGCAGAACAGGCAGATCGACAAAGTACATTGTTGAAGGGAGCAGCGAGTGGGTCAGAAGAGGTCTGCCACGCCGTGTGGTCACCTCCCGGGCTGGCGGGAATCGAACTCATGCGGAAGCGGCTTTAGATTCTCAGTGCTGTGCTTTTAACCCGCTGCGCCACCAGGGAGGGCCACACCTGAAATTTTTATTATGCTATATTGCAATGTTCCTTCAATTAAAGAAATAATACAATGGTATCCAAAATATGATACATCGATTTAAAAGGTAATTCACAGTAGATGTACTGGTTCCCAAAATCATTATTATCCCAAGGTTCTTCTTCCCTGTTCTGTCACTCTTAGCATATGGCTTGCCTCTTAGTGATTCCAAGACAGGTATCACACTTCCTAGCTTAGATCTTCATCTCAGACAGGAAAAGCAAAGGCCAAATCAAGACGAAAAGACTGAGGTCCTTGATCAGAAAAGTAGTACTTGTCTATAAATTCTTAGATTTCTTTTTGCTTTACATCAGTCAGAACTGCATTACTTGCCTGCGAGTAGTTACAGGATAGTCCAGGGAAGTGAGTTTTATTTTCTTCCTTTTTAAAAACCAATTTAAAATTATTTTGAAAAAAAGATTCAATTTAGACTGAATTCAACTTAGATCCTTCTTTCTTTTCATAATAAAAATTTCAGATAATAGGGTCCTCCCTGGTGGCACAGCGGGTTAAAGCGCAGCACTGAGAGCTAGCCATAGCTGCGTCAGTGCAAGTTGGAGGAGATCCACATGGTGCGGCAGACCTCTCCTGACCCGCCCACTGCTCCCCTCAGCAGTGTACTTCGTCGATCTGCCTGTTCTGTTCCCCACTCTGTCTCTGGTGAAGCCTCTCACCGCCCCTGAGCCTCTGGTCTGTACCCCAGTTCTGTATGCACAAATAAATAAATCTTAAAAAAAAAATTTCAGGTAACATACAAAAGTAGGTAATTAGTCATCAGGCATTTTCATGCTCCAACTTTAATGATTAATTCATAGCCAATACCATTCATCTTTACCTGTAGCCACATCCACATGTCATATTATATTAATTTTTTTAAGATTTATTTTTATTAATTCATGCATACAAGAACTGGGGTATAGGCCAGAGGTGCAGGGTGAGGGTGAGAAGACTCACCAAAGCCAGAGTGGGGAGCAGAACAGCAGGACCTACTGAACTACACTGTTGAAGGGACCAGTGGGTGAGAAAGGAGAAGTCTGCCATGCCATATGGGTTAGATCCTTGGCCTGGGCTCCAACTCCTGCTGTAGTGGCTGCTGATAGCTTGATAGTGCTGAGATTTAATCCCCTGCATCACCAGGGAGGGCCCCACATATCATAGTATGTTAAGGCAAATCTCACATATCATTTTTTCCTCATTCTTGACCAAACTACTGTAATTTACAATTTTAATGTACAATACAAACTCCATAATTTCTTGAAATTCTCACCTGACTGTTACAAAGAGCTGAATCTACACTTTCATTCTTCATTGTCAGAAAGGATACCTAATTCTTCATCTGTCCATTGGGAGAAGCTGAATATTGAAAGTCATGAGAAAAGTGCCAGGGAATTCAGAACCACATAGTTGCATGGAATAACTTACCCTGTGGTCAGCTAGGGAAATAGTATGTACAAGGTTCATGCACACTCCCAACCAACATGACCAACTCTAGCATCACAGATACCTCTGCAGAGATACCTTCAACAAAATGAAAGGTGCCAGGAGTCTCAGAGCTCACATGTCAGCCAGTGTCAGGACAGCAGATACCAGGCTTTACCACTGGCTCCACATCATTTCCCCCAACATCATATTTCTAGACCCACACACATTTAGTAGGTATTCTACAAGGTCATTTAAAAAACCCAACTATAAATTATTACCACATTTAAAGAAAAATGTGATAACGTTTTTTTCTTTTACTATGTTTAATTCCCTTTATGCCCATGGATAAATTTTTTTAAACATCTTCAGAATATTTCTCATTTTTAAAATTGTATTTGGGTTCTAAAAGCACTTGAAAACATCCAATTTATTGAAAAATGTTTGAAATATGGAAGGAAGTATTCTAATATACCCTAGTTGGTATCAATATTTTGTTAGAAAGGCATTTAAAATGGTGGTAGTTGGGTTGTTAACTTGAATGCCGATATTAAACCACAATAAAATCTAAAAATTAAATAATGCTAAATGTTTAATGTTCACTATAAATAACTTTTCAACATGCTGGACCTCACTGTTCAAGTAGTATAGGTATACAATCTGGTGGAGTAAGATTACAGATCTATTTCAAATCCCATAGATTTACTTGTTTGGTAGTTGCTTTATCCTTTCTGAACACCTATTTCCTCTAAAATAAGAATAGCAAAGTATTACTTGATATTGACAAACAAAATCACGTTATATCATTAAATAAAGGCTAATTATTACTGTTCTATAAATGATTTACTACAAGCTGTTCCATTTCTAAATACACAAGGCCCAAAACAAAAATCAGATAAAATCAAACTTGTAGCTTTCCAATGTCGAAATATGTCTTTTCACCTCCTTTTTAATACAATAGGATCAAATGCCAGAAGAGCTCTTGTTTACTCAAAGACTAGTTTGCTTATTGTACTATTTTCCTCAGTCATGTAAGAAAAGAGGCTTTTCATGAAACTCCCAATTTTGTATCTCTAAGTAAGTAAAGAAATTTTCCTGACACCGATTAGTCTTCTCCAAGTGTTTCTTGGGCCTTGGTTAAACACATACTGAATATCACCTGCATAAACTTCAAAAGGAAGCATAAAAACAAAGACAACAGCGAGCCCACATTCATATTGTTTTGAAAATTTCACTACTTTGTAGAAAAAGATGTATCTGTCACCTTATTCTTTGTATTATCTTTTTATTCTCAATATACCAAAATAATGTCCCAATACTATTATTATAAATATATTTACAAAGCAAACCCCCCAATAGTAATATACATACTGCACCATAAGACTGGTTTTTTTCCCCAGAAAATATCAAGAAAATATCAATCATTGTACCTTTTGTAGCAAAATTTCTAGATGCTGAATTTTTAGTAAGGTTTTGGTGTTTTAATTTTTTTTTCTCTTCTTCAATTTGTTTTTCTTGTTGATATAATTTCTCTTCCCTCTGAATTCTTTTTTGTTCTTTTTGTTTTTCATCTTTTCTTTGACATTCTTTCCAGGCTTCTAATTCTTTAGTTGCTTTTATTCGTTCGTTTTCTTTCATGTTTTCTATTTTTTGCCTCTCTTCTTCTTCAATCTGTGAAGATTAGAATTACCCAGTCATTAAAACATATAAAATGCAACATGCTAAAATAAGAAATTCATTGTAATAATTAATAGTCTTTAGCTCTAAACTCTTGTATCTATAATCACATTTATAGTGAAAAAAGAATTAAAGTGGAAACTACAAAAATGACTTAGTTAGCAAAACCCACAGGTTTTAGTTTCAGATTTATCATTAGCTATTGATACAATATTAGACAATCACTTTCTCTAGCATGAGTTCTGATATGTAAAATGTGGGCAGACATTCAATTAGATGCTACCTAAATGCTTAGTAAAAAAAAATTTAAGAATTTGTTATTCTAAAAGTTAGGTAACGTCTCCTAAATCTTATGTACATACATACACATAAATACACTTATACAAACATTTGCTCTTCATTCTTCCTATTTACTTTGCCTTAGGTCTGAAATTGTGTCAAACTTCACCTAAGGAGTGAAGTAGAAAGGAAAAAGTAAGGATGAAAAGAATTACTGCTTTTGATGAGTGGAGATGTTTGAACTTTGAATTCTGCAGCCAGCTATCTTTGCACTAGTAGGTATTTGAAACTTCCAAAAGAAAGCTAAATTCAGTGACTTGAAAGCAGTATATCGCTGAGGAATATGCCAAGTTTTGTCCCTTTCAAATTTCCCTCATGAGGCAAGAATAAACCCCCTGTAAAACAGAGTAATTGATCAATGTATATGACTGATTCCATGTATCTCACTGCTCTATGATAACACAAAAGTTTTAGAGAAACAGTGTCTAACACAACCTTTCTCAATGTTGGTTAAGCTCTGTGTTATCCAATACAGCAGCCACTATCTAATTGAGCAATTAAAATATGGCCAGTATGACTGAGGAACTGAATTTAAATTTTTAATTTCATTAACATAAATTTAAATTTATATTTAAATAGGTAAACCTAGCATAGTCCTAGAATAAATGCTGGGTTGAAGGTTCCTAGAGGCTGAATTATTTTAGGATACAAAATTAACATTACAGGTACAACTATGTTATGAAGGGTGCTCTATACTACCTGCATGACCCAATACCCTTTTCTGGAAGACTGCTTTTCTCTTGAGTTATAAAACACTAATTTAAAAATAAATTTTACAAATCCTAACAGCAACTTCCTATGGTCTCAGTATTACACTTATGGCCAAAATTAAGCACAACAGATGTTAATTTCTAGGTGATCTAAGCTCAGAGAGTTGCCAACAGATTGGGCCAAGGAGACTCCTGACAATGTAAAGCATTTAAATGCCTGATAACAGACTGTGAACATGAAGTAAACACAGCCTGAAAGATGACAACTTTACCCTGTTTAATAATAATCTTGCTTTTTCCTTCCTTCTTTGTTCTAGCACATGGAAAGAGGAGAAAGTATATAAAGAATTAGCATACTCTCTTCATAATTCCTGTAAGTGGAGTGAATTTTCAATGAACTTTTAAAAATGCTAAGACTAAATCTTTTTTTTTAGGTTTCAAACATTTTTTAATATTTAAAAAATATATACTAGTATATTTTTTACATCACTTTGTGCATTTTTTATCTCAGTTGTAATCCCCGTGGGCTTCCCATCACCAAACCACCCTGTGCCATCACCATAGTCCAGTGCATTACCCTCATCCCACTGTTTTTGATCCCATTCCCCACTTCACCCCCATAAAATGTCTCTGGTATATAGCTGTTCATTATTATTATTATTTTCTCGCCTGGTCCATTATACTCCTGTTATAAGTGAAACTATTCAGTATTTTTTCCTTTTCTTTCTGGCTTATTTCATTAAGCATGATCTTCTCTAGCTCCATCCATGTTGCTGCAAAAGATATGTGTTTATTTTTTTTGGTTGCTGAATAACATTCCATTGTGTATATGTACCACATCCTTTTAATTCAGTCATCTATTTTGGGACATTTGGGCTGTCTCCATGTCTTTCTAATTGTAAATAAGGCAGCAATAAACATGGGGGCGCAGGTATCTTTTGAATCAGTGTTTTTGTGTCTTTTGGGTAAATATCTAGGAGTGGGATTGCTGGGTCATATGGAAGCTCCATGTTAAGCAGTTTGAGGAACCTCCAAACAGTTTTCCATAGTGGTTATACTAGTTTGCATTCCCACCAGCATTGCAGGAGAGTTCCTTTTTCTCCACATCCTCGCCAACATTTGTTGTTGCTAGGTGTTTTAAGATGTGCCATTCTCACTGGGGTGAGGTGGTATCTCACTGTGGTTTTAATTTGCATCTCCCTTATTACAAGTGATATCGAACATTTTTTCATATGCTTGTTGGCCATGTGCATTTCCTCTTTGGAGAAGTGTCTTTTTAGCTCTCCTGCCCATTTTTTGATGATGATGTTTATTTTTGTTGAGCTAAATCTTTTTTTGAAAAAATATTTATTTATTTATGCATACAAGAACTGAGGTGCAGGCCAGAGGAGGGAGGGCGTGAGAGGATTCATTAGAGACAGAGTGAGGAGCAGAACACGCAGATTGAAAAACACTGCTGAGAGGAAGAGTGGGTGGGTCAGGAAAGGTCTGCTTTGCCATGTGGGTCAGCCCCCTGGCCAGGGATTGAACTTGTGCTGCAAGTGGCTGTGGATTGCTTCACTGTGTTGTGCTTTAACACCGTATGCTACCAGGAAGGGCCCTGAGACTGTCTTAATTAACAATAATAAGACTTATAACCAAAAGTAAAAGGAAGTTTTGGTAGTCAAAATGTGGTTAATTTTATATACACACATATAAATATATCATATGATTTGGCTTACTTGAGACCCAGCTTCAGTTTTGGCATGTAGAGAGCTTAGATGTTGTCATTCCTATTTTATAACAAAAAAGGACAAACTGAAAAACAGTAAGTTGTCTGGGACCCATGAGGGAATTCAGCAACAAACATATTATTATACTAAAATCTGTAGATACAGGAGTATCCAGAAAGACACAAAGATCTGCTTCCTCTGTTGAGCAAGCAGAACCTAGTTGAGATATAAACTGCTAGGAAAATATAAATGATAATTCTGGCAAAATGCTGGAGTCTAAGTATGAACTAGCAACAGAGCAAAACTCCTATTGGCCACAGTCTTCATGGGTAACCCCAATTTTTTTAATTTTTACATCAAGAAACCCATTAGGTTGCCCCTGGCAGAAGAAACACTATAGCCAGGGAAGGAAATTGAGGCAGAGGATGAATATTATCTTTGGAAAAACAATTGTGACCATCATACCTCCAAAAGACAGGACCATGCGAAAGACATATTTAATTGAAAAACTGTACAAAGAATGCTTCCTCTTCCTTGTAATTTACTACCACACCAAATGGTCTTCAGGATAATGACAGTAAATTACAGAAGAAATGTATGACAGACTCTGCAAAGTTGAGAAGATGAAAGAGTCCAACTTAGAAGGGAAGGAGGAAAAGAGGTTATAAATGTGAAGCCTCTAATACCTACAGTTACAGTTAACATTAAACATGGCCCAAATTTTAGCCAAATTAAAATAAATCCACACACTAATTGACAAATAATCTGACTCAACATGTCTAGTTTTCAACGAAAAAAATTGCAAGATATGCCAAAAGGCTAGAAAAAAAAATACTGTAAACAGACAAAGCAATCACTAGAACCAGATCCATACAGCATAGATGTAAGAATGATCAAACATGAAATTTAAAGTTAACTGTTTAATATAGTAAAGACTCTAATGCAAAAATACCAGGTGCAAATATACTCATGTTTTACCATCCACATGAAGATATGTATCATTCTTATATGAGTTAAGAAAATTAAAATATTGAATCAATCTAAAGTTTAATATACTATTTTAAAGTTTCTCATGGAACATTGTTAACTGGAAATAAAATTCCAATAATAGATAAACAAATTATTTAATAGTCAAAGTGAGGATTCAAAGGCAGGAAGTAGTCTAATGGATTTTACTTTTTAAAGGACTATTCCAGCAACAAACTCAGTATGTTTGAGGAACAGCAAATCACTGAGATTCAGAATGTGATTATGGTTGAACGGGCTCCAATTCTAAGATGTGTGGCCCTAAATATATGCTGATGATAGAGGAAAGCAATGCAGGGACAGGGATGGGGAGGGGTCCCAGAAATGTTATAGTATGCTCATGTGGTCAACTTGTGAAACTTACTTATTTAGGTTCTTATATTCTGTAGAAATAAGAATCTAGTGTTTAGAATGGCATACATATCTGTTATAGCCAAAGCGTTTTACTATGAGCTTTCCCAATTCATGTGCTGAAGCCCTAACCCTCAAGGAGATACTACTTGGAGATGAGGACTACACAGAGGGAATTAAGGTTAAATGAGGTAAAAAGGGTGGACCCATGATACAATAGCATTAGTGTTCTTATAGAAAAGACACCAAGTCTAAAGCCATACCACCCTGAACGCGCCCGATCTCTTCTGATCTCGGACGCTAAGCAGGGTCGGGCCTGGTTAGTACTTGGATGGGAGAAAAGACACCAAGAACTTGCTTGAGCTGCACCATGTGGAAATATAACGTGAAGGCAGCTATCTACAAGCCAGGAAAAGTTTCCTCAACAGAAACTGAAATAGCCTACACTTGAACTTTGCAGTATCCAAAACTATGAGAAAATAAATTCTGTTAATTAAGTCACACTGTCTGTGTTCTTTGTTGTTGTTATGGCAGCTGGAGCAGACTGAGACTCTTTTCCCTTTGGCAGATTTTCAAATAGGTAAAGATGGCCCAGAGTAAACAATGAGAGCTATAAGGGAAAACCAATTGCTAGTTAATTCACAAACTAAAAATATCAAACTCATGAATAATTGAGAGGAACTTACTTAATATATCAGCAAATGTAGACATAGATTTTCTGTATTTCAGTTTACTTGTTATCTGGATTTTCTGTCTAACACATGCAAATTTGTAAGTAACTTGGAAACTACATGTGAAAACAAGGGTACAAGTAAACTCTTATTAGATTAATTAGCGTTTGTTCTCCTTGATCAAGTAATAACATAAAAAAGTTTGTTTTTACTATTTTTTAAATTTATTTATGCATATAAGAAATAGAGTATAAGCCAAAGATGTGTGGGTGAGAAGCAGGCTGAGAGGACTTACCAGAGACAGAGTGGGGAGCAGAACAGAGAGAACTACTAGAATACACTGCTGAGGGGGGCAGTGGGTGAGACAGGTGAAGTCTGCTGTGCTATGTGGGTCAGCTCCCTGGCCAGACGTCAAACTCATGTTCCAGTTGCTGGTGATTGCTTGACAGTGCTGAGACTTAACCCCTTTGTGCCACCAGCGAGGACTCTGAAAGTTTTTGTTTTTATGCTATATGGTTTCATAGCCTTCTAATAATTTGCGATACTCTCCTGAGGTTCTCAAGCTATTCATCATCACATTTGGTATCTTTTAAGGATTTAAGCTTTGGTTTACTGATGAAAAAAACTTTAAGTCAGTATTCAAGTTTACTCACACAAATATACTACTCAGATAGCTAATTTTATTATGATAGAAGCTTCCAGTTGACTGGACCTTAAATTTAAGACTTCAAGGATTTAAGCAGATTAGTGACTTCCAGGAATAACAGGAAATAGGAAAGTGGGAATGACTTTTAATGGGGTGCTTTTCTGAGATGATGAAAATGCCCCAAAATAAGAAGTCAAGAAGATAAATTTTTTAATTAACTAAAAATTGTACATTTTAAAAGTATGAATGTCATAGTGATGTATTATATTTCAATAAGTGCTATTTAAATAAAGGAATACCTATATAGAACAATGATGAGAGAAGTGGGGATAAGATCAAGCAAAAATAAAGGTTCTAGCTTATCTCAACGAATTTTTTTAAAGATTTATTTATGCATACAGAATTGGGATATAGGCCAGAGGTGGTGAGAGGCTTCACCAGAGACAGAGTGGAGAGCAGGATAAGCATATTAATGAAGTACACTGCTGAGGGAAGCAGTAGGCAAAACAGGAGAGATCTGCCACGCCATGTGGGTCAGCTCCAGGGCCAGGGATCCAACTTGCATTGAAGTGGCTACAACTAGCTTGCAGTGCTGCATCCTAACCCACTGCACCACCAGGGAGGGCCATATCTCAAAGAAATTTTTACAAGTTGTATGGAGTAGGGGGAGGAAATAGGTGGTTTTCAAGCATACATTGTGAATTAAAAATGGCATTGAGGAGCAAATCAACATGTAAGTATGTTCCAAGTCTTTCCATGTTAAAAATACAGAAGCTCTGCTCCTACTTTGCAGTGTCTTCAAACTCATTAGCCAGGATGAGCTTTCCAAAATACAAACCCAATTAATTTGATGTTCTTGCTGAAAGTACCTAAAGAAATCCTTCCTATATTTAGGAAATTTCTCAAAATCTTAACATTTTATTTCTCCTTACTAGGCCATATTCTGTCAAGCATTTATTCATACTGTCTCTAAATTTGTTTCTCCATTTATTCCCCAGGTACTATGACTTATTCTCTAGTACTGAGTATGGAAAACATTGTCTATTTCCTAACCATACTTTCAGGATGAAATATGAATCTTTCTAGTATTGTCTCTTTAATCTTCCTATGCCCTCTTAAACAATACATACTATTGTAACATCAGAATCTCAATAAAAAGGGGAGACTCAGAAAACATGGAAAAGAAGTGGAGACACATCTGAAAGAGACATGTGGTGAGAGACATGTGGGAAGGCTAATGTCAGTGCTTATCTTGATTTATACTTACTTTGATTTTGTGTCTTTTGTCCCAGACTTACCTCATCCCTTTTACTCTTTTCCTATGGTTTCCTGCCAAAAGGTGCTTTAGACTTGTGGTGAGCTTGTGGGCCTCACCAGCTTTGCTTTGGTCAACCCTACTAGACTAGGAATTTATCCATAAGAGGATGGGTTATTATGAGTGTTTCATTTCTCTTATTCCCTCTCTAGGTGCAATCTATCTATTAAAGATCTTTTACACTAAGAGTATGCTTTGTCTTTATGTGGTGAATGGCAGAATTCACTTAGACCATGCAAGTTTGGGGGTCCTGGGGTCTCCTTTAGTCTGCCCACTAACATTATGGTTTACTCTTTGCTTTGTTGTCTGTAACCTTCTCTAAATCACAAGTAAATTGAAAGTGAAGATTGACATCTTAAAATGAGTGAGCACTTTTCACAGATCCATAAAAATTTGTTCAATGAAATACCTGGAAGTTGATGTAGTAAACTAAGTTTTCCATACATAGACTTGAAGTAAAGATTGATTGAAACACATGTAAAACTTATGATCACTTTTTTTAAAAAAAAGATTTATTTGTGCATACAGAACTGGGGTACAGGCCAGAGGCTCAGGGGCGGCGAGAGGCTTCACCAGAGACAGAGTGGGGAACAGAACAGGCAAATCATCGAAGAACCCTGCTGAGGGGAGCAGCTGGTGGGTCAGGCAAGGTCTGCAGTGTCATGTGGATCATCTCTGGGTCAGGCAGGGGTCGAACTCATGTGGAAGTGGCTTTAGCTTCTCAGTGCTGTGCTTTAACCTGCTGCGCCAGCAGGGAGGGTCATTATGATCACTTTTAATATCATTCTATAATACCTGAGGCAATTGTTTTATGAGACTTAAAAGGGAGCCAATTGAATAGAGAGAGCCTGTGTTCCACTGGGTCCTGTTATATGCAGATGTGGACCAGCTCACTATCAGCCTACAGGTGAAAGAACCCAGGAAAGGCAATACTAAGGAGGTTTCGGAGAGAGAGTCACAGCTTTGATTTAACTATATCTGACAACTGCTCTTCCTTTGAATATTTTCTGCTAAATAAGTGAAATTCTCTTTATAGTTAATCCTTAGTCTTTTCAAGTCACAAATTGTTCTCATTTCTACATACATGTTCCCTTGAAATGTGACTTAATCTCTTTTTCCTAGCAGAAGTGTAATTTATTTTTTCAATTCTTGAATGTGGGCTTGACTTTTCAAACAACAAAGTCGGTCTTTCATGCATTGATAGATTAATAACTCCAAGGTATAGGGCAGGGGTTAGTTCCTGCCATTGCTGTTTTGTTATATTTACTTACAATACAGCACTACTATTTCACTACTAATTCGGTAAGGACTTATCTGTTGTCACAACTTTTATATTATTTTGTTTTAATTTTTTTAGTTCATGGAAATTTTTAAAAATTAAAAGATTGACAGCCATATCATCAAAAAAGATGGAAATCATCAAATAAACCAAAAGTAGAAATCTGTGGCTAACTCACCACATGTTTACTATTAACTAAGAAAGGACATAAAGTATATAATTATATTTTAAAGTCAAGTTGAAGAGATGAAAGAAGTGAGGAAATCTTTGCAATAATCAAGTGTTGATTACAAGAACATCAGTGATCTAACTGCAAAAGAAGTCAAGGTTCTTCAGAATTCTTGATGAGATAATGCTTGTGAGAGATTCCTCACTCATTTTAAAAATGTCAAAATGAAAATAGGGGGTAAGAAATTACTTGTGAGGGCCCTTCCTGGTGGCGCAGCGAGCAAAGCACAAAACTAAGAAGCTAAAGCCACTTTAGCATGAGTTCAATCCCCGGCACTGGAGGTGACCCACATGGCGCGGCAGACCTCTCCTGGCCCGCACCTGCTGCTCCTCTCAGCAGTTACTTTGGCGACCTGTCTGTTCTGCTCCCCACTCTGTCTCTGGTGAATCCTGTCATCGCTCTTGCGCTTCTGGCCTGCATCCCAGTTCTGTACACAAAAATAAAACAAATCTTTAAAAAAAGAAATCACTTATGAAAATCAGAATTGGTGCATCTACATACAGAGAAAATACTTTAGTGATTATCTAGAGCTAGGAGTTTGGGGAAAATCTGGAGGGGCTGCTAATGGGTACAGAACTTCTTTCTGGGGTAATAAAAATACTCTAAAATTGATGGTGGTGATGGTTGAAAAACTGTGTACTAAAAATCATTAATTGTTTTAAATAGATGAACTGTATTATGTGAATTATATGTCAAGAACATATTGCTGATTAAAGCCTGAATTTAAAGATCTTGACAGATAAAAGTATTAATTTATAAGTATTTAGTGTTAAATCTCTGTGATTTTTATTTTAAATAATCACATAATTATTCTAAGTTTAAAAAAAGTAGAACAGGTATGACATACAAAATTTGTAATTATTTTTGCCCCTCTCTCCAGAAATAGAACATTTTTCCTGAAATAAGTAAATCTATTGTCATATGTTTATATCCTCAACTATCAAACAGATTTTCAGGACTACATGTAAGTAGCAGATGCCTATATAGTTTAATAAGGCCTACAAACCAAAGTATTAACAACATGCTAAGAAGTACATTGTTTGAACTAATTATTCTTACCAGTTTACTATTAACTTTTTAATTACAAGACTTTTCTATCAATTTGCAAATTACCTTCATCATGACATTTAGTGTGAATTTTTGATCTTCCCGCTTTGCTGTAGCTTTTGCTTCCATAACTTCTTTTGCTCTTTCTTGGGCTTGTAAAATAGATTTTTCTCTTATTCCTTGCATCATCTGTTTGTCAGCTAAAATATGAATATCACTAAATTAGGATTATGGTTTTTTTTAAAGATTTATTTACTTATGCATACAGAACTGGGGTATAGGCCAGAGGTGTAGGGGTGGTGAAGGATTCACCAGAGACAGAGTGGGAAGCAGATTGACAAAATACACTGCTGAGGGGAGCAACGGGCGGGTCAGGAGAGATCTGTCATGCCATGTGCGTTACCTCCGGGTCTGGGGATGGAACTCGCAATGAATCGACTGTGCACTATTGCAGTGCTGAGCTTTAGCCCTCTGTGCCACCAGGGAGGGTCAGGATTATGATATTCTTATGACAAATTTGTTTAACTTGTAAACATAAGGAGGAAACCACTTATACACTGATCCAAGATGAGATTCCTTTTTATCCAATTTCATTTGGAGAAATGGAAACATTTCTCAATTTCAGACTGGCCAAGAAGCTAACATTAAAAGGTAGACAAGTAACTGTAACAAGTTACAGCTGAAGGAGAGAAACAAGAGCAAAAGAAAGGAAGAAAGAATATAAATGAGAGAAAGGAGGAAAATTAAAGAGTGAGTGAGGGAAGAGCAGAAGTAAGGGGGAAGAGGAACACAAGAGGAAGAGAGGAAGGGTAGTGGAATGATGGAAAGGGGAAGAAGGGCAAGGATAAGGAACAGAGAGAGGAGACAAGATAAGGGGAAGATGAGAACACATTTATCCTCCTTCCTCTGTTGAAAAATCAGAACTATTTTTTTTAATAAACGTGATCACAATATATCATCGCTATGGGATCTCCTAGAAGATAGGTTGAGATCATTTGAGATGATTAGTGACCTTCACAAATATAAATGTTAATTTATACATATGAAGAGTTTTCAGCATTAGGAGAAATTATAAACTAATATGACATGTTATATATAGAATTTTTCCATTCACAATTATTTTGATATTCAGTGACTTAATATTTTACAAACTGTGGTAGTAAATCAGTTTAGGTGAATAGGAACCAGGAAGGGATCTAGGCATAGAGAAAAAAATGGGGGTGGGAAGAAAACTTGGGGGGAGATTGACGGTGGGGATAATAAAATAAGGGGGGGATCAGACCCTACACAGGGATCCTTAAAAATTTAAGGGTCCTTAAACATTTTGTGCAGGGGATACCTTGGCAGCATAGCGAAGCCTTATCGACCCCTTCACAATGTTTTAAAATATATGAAACATATATAGTATATAGGACTACATATATAATGTATGGGATATATATGATTACAAAGAAAATCAGTTTATTTAAAATTATACAATAGAAACTAAATTTGTGATATACAAATAAATAATTCATTAATACATTAAATACTATACAGCAATATAGCTAATGCTATAATTTCTAAGTGGTGATGAAATTAAAAGATAGCAATAATTGTGATATGAAGATATTTGTGATTTCCCTTCATAACTGAAGGGAATGCTAAATTTCAGTTAGTGGCTAAGTCAAAAGAATGGAATTTTTACTCATCCAAGAGTTTGGCTGGGAATGAGGACTATGAGCCTCCCCCAACCCTCCTCCTATTTAGTAACAGGGTAGCAGACAGTTGGATCAACTTCAAGGGAAGAAACAATTGAAGGAATATCAACTTTTTTAAATAAAATGCTCACCACCTAAAAGAAATGAAGTGTATTGCAAAGGAACTTCAGTAATAAATAGAGCACAATATTTTGAATAATGCATCAGATAGGCTAGGGATATAGGCTGGAGATATACAATAATTCATGTGAAAAAATACGGCAAATAATTAATCTGAAATAACTGAACTGCATGTGAAACTGAGTTTGATTTCTATAGGCATCTCAAACCTGACTTCTGAAACAGAATCAATGTTCATTACTTTTTACAACAGTTTTAAAACTGTTTTGATTACTCTAAGTTAGAGATTGACAAACCATGGCTTATGGGACAAAACTAGATTGCTATCTGCTTTCCTACAGCCACAAGTTAAAAATAATTTTTACATTTTTAAATAGTTGAAAAGAAATCCAAAGAATAATAATACCTTGTGACATAGAAAAATTAGATGAAACTCAAATTTCAGTGTCAATAAATACATACTATGTATAGTTTTTTTTGTTGTTGTTGTCATAATGGCAGAGTTGAATAGTTGTGGCAAAGACCACGTGGCCCACAAAGTCTAATATATTTGGTCCTTTTGTAAAATGTTTGCTAATCCATAGGTTAAATGTAAAATAGAGAGGAAGAACATGATTAGGAGAGAGGTTCCTTCCCACTCCTGATAAGGTGACCTACAAGGTTAAAAAGGGAATTTGACATAGAAGAAAATAGCCGTAGGAGAAAATAACACGTTTTCTGATACAACCCTTTTATATATCCTAAAAATGTGGTGGATAAAATATTTCCTGAGTAAATGTATTGGTCATCAGCATGGACACACACGCGCGTGCGCACACACACACACATAGTTTCTCAAACCTGGTCGGTTACCAGGATCATAGTTCCTCTCTCCTCCCCATTTGTTTTTTTGTTTGTTTGTTTGTTTGTTTCATTAAAAAAAAAATGTGCCCTTCCTGGTAGCACAATGGGTTAAAGCACAGCACTGAGAATCTGGGGCCGCTTCCCCATGAGTTCGACCCCTGCCTGCCCCGGAGGTGACCACATGGCTTGGCAGACCTCTCCTGACCCGCCAGCTGCTCCCCTCAGCAGTGTACTTAGTCAATCTGCCTGTTCTGCTCCCCACTCTGTCTCTGGTGAAGCCTCTCACCGCCCCTGCACTTCTGGCCTGTACCCCAGTTCTGTATGCACAAATAAATAAATCTTTTTAAAAAATTGTATTTTTTTATATCATTCTTCATTTTGAACATTTTTTCAACTTTGTTGTAATCCCCAAGGACTTCCCACCACCACTTCACCCATGTGCTGCCATCACCACAGTCCTGTGTGCTCTTTCTGTCCCAGTTTTGATCCTATTCCCCATTTCTGTTTATTTTTAAGTAAGCCAGTATAATAGATGATGGTTTTGGTTCCAAAGAACATCAAAATTAAAATTATCGACAAGAGTTGAAATATATGAAAGTATTTTCATTTACAGCTAGGTAAAAAGTCAGAACACTCTGATTATGCTTTATGACACATTCCCAGGTTCATCCAGACTTCTGAATTAATCACAAAGGCAGGCAGGGGTAGGAGAGCAGTTTCTTGTTTTTAAAAAACTCAACTAATCTGATATACCACCATAATCACTACTTTCTGAGCTAAATACCATATCTTAGAGAAAAATTCTGTCCACTACTGGAGATTAAAAAATTAAATTCCCAGATCTCCCCTGGTGATGCAATGGGTTAAAGAGAAGCACTATAAAGCTAACTGCAGCCACTGAAGCACAATTTCAATCCCAGGCCAGGGAGTGACCCACATGGTGTGGCAAACCTCTTCTGACCTACCCTCTGCTCCCCTTAGCAGTGTACTTCAGTAGATCTGCCTGTCCCACTCCCCACTCTGTTTCTAGTGAAACCTTTCACCTCCCACATCTCTGGCCTGTACACCAGTTCTTGCATGCATAAATAAATCTTTTTGAAAAAAATTAAATTCCTTTGCAAGATACCAAGAAAACATTAGTATTAAGCATGATTACAATCTCCTCATTCTCAGTAAACCCTACTCAAGGCTTAATGCCCTCTGGCATTAATTAATACAGGATAATAGACATGAAGTACTAAAAAACATGACAAACAGAATAGGGAGGAGGAAAGTGGAACTAAAGCAGTAGAGAGGAATTATTTACCTATAATTTGATCTTGGCAGAATACTAAGTCCAGTAATAGAGGATCTCACTTTTTTATACACATTGCAACCCCTGGAAAGATTTTAAAAACTACCACTACCTGGGTCCCACTCCCAGAAACTGATTTAATGGGTGTGGGAGCCTATCAGTCATTTATATTATTTATCAGTTCTGCAGGTAATTCAAATACAGTGCCAGGGTTGAGAGCCACTGCTCACTAGTTACACTGCTAAGGCTTTAGTTCCAGCCTGCCACTTAAGTAACTGCATAGCTTTTGCCCATTAATCAACCCTTCTGTGTCTCAGAGCCCATCTGTTAAAAAATAAAAAAGGATACCTAAGAAAAAGACTGTCCTGAGAATTAATAGGCAAAGTCATGCTTAATATAAATAAGTGCTCAGGAAAGCCCATATCAGGAAGTCTTATGAATGGAAAATATAAACCCTCATGTTCTACTTAAGAGCTATCATTAATATGCTCTAACTTTTGAATAATTCAATCGTTAGGTTTTTATTTTAAGTGCAGCTGAAACACTCTCATTTAAATCATGCCCATGTCCCTTTTTTTCCACCCTGATTAAGCAATTGTTTAGAAATGCAATTTTTAAGAAGGTTTAAAATAAAAAAGCATAACCATATGAGAACATCTTTAATAAGGAACTTACCACCTGCTACAGAAAGGTTTTCCCACATGACTGCTTCCTTTTTATATAAGGTGAAAACAATAGTGTCACTGCCAATCTTGGCTTTGCTGCTCTCATCATCTATGGGAGCGTACAGAAACACTTCAAATAAAAATGGAGGATAGTTGACCTATTCAGAAAAGAGTAAATAGAAGTTTAGTTACACAGATTAAAGGTAATATCATTAAGAAATAAGTGGTGAAGGGCAAAATCATTTTAAGTGCCTGCTATATACTTTTACTCCAAGTCACAAAAGATTAAGAAGGTATGTAAGAGGGAAACTAGGACAAAAATGATTTCTGGTCTGATGACACCTATCTACAGATGCGGCGCCAACTGTGTGGGATTCGCTTTTTAAAAACATAACTAAAAGCCTGTGACGTTATCTGCAAAGATGTGCCTGTTGCGCTTACACAGCTGCACTCTCGCAGAAGTTCCGAAGCACCCTCAGGTAGTCGGCGGACACTACTTCCCTACCTACCTTCAGATAGTTTTCTGTGCAAAACACGTCCGCGTCTCTGACGCAGACGCCTCGAAGGGGCACGGAGATAAAGACCGCATTGTTGGTTTGCTGCCAATTGTAATCGTTCACCTGCAGAGGCATCCTGGGAGGTGGCTGAAGCGGCTGGGGCATCAGGTTAGGACCGACGCAGGGCTGGTTGCTAGGGAAGCCGGGGTTGCCACGCACCAGCCCTTCCGGGTCAGCCGGGCCACCCAGCGTTCACCTCTCACGGTGGACCCCTCTTGTCTGCTTGTGCACTCTAGTGGACGCTTTAGATCATTTGTCAATATCTTATTCCTTGCCGGCAGTCTGAGTGGATCTCTGATCTACTTAAGAAAAGAGAATCGCGCCTAAGAATATAAAAGAGTGTGAACTTACTACACAGGAAGGTGTGATCCCCGAGGGAAGCAGGTGCAAAACCCACACGCCTTGCAGCCTTGATCTTTTGTTTGTTCTGATGGAGGCTATGAGTTAACAATATTGGGTGTTCCTGTTTTCAATTTTTTGGGGGGCGGGAGGAATTATGTATATCTTGGCCTGGAAGCTTACCAGTACTACTGTGGCACTTCAAATGCTACCAACTGTTAAGACCACCAAGAAAATATGTAGAGGTTTCCTCCTCGGTTTGAGAACTGAGGAGTAACAACCTTATGTCTCAATAGACAAATGCCTGATTGCCACTCAACTCTAGGATGTTGGCTTTACATGAGACATCATACAATTGCTTAAGAAAACTTGAAACTTTTTAATACTGAAGAAATGTGACGACCATAAAATCTTACCGATGGAATGTAAGACCTATACATTCAGCACCCCACTGTTACCTATCGGTGACAGACCTGACTAAAATCCTGCCTCTTCATTCCCATTCCAGTGCTTTTTCTGCGGTCTATTTTCTGTGATAGTTTATAAATTGCTGAAATTCGATATTTTAAAAATTTAGGTTAAAATTGAGCATCTACATGACCAACAAGCATATGAAAAAATGTCCAACATTGCTTGTAACAGGGAGATGCAAATTAAAACCACAATGAGATACCACCTCATACCAGTGAGAATGGCACATCTTAAAACAACCAGCAACAACAAATGTTGGTGAAGATGTGGAGAAAAAGGAACTCTCCTGCACTGCTGGTGGGAATGCAAACTAGTACCACCACTATGGAAAATTGGAGCTTTCTCAAACTGCTAAAAATAGAGCTTTCAGATGACCCAGCAATCCCACTCCTAGGTATCTACCCATAGGACACAAAAACACTGATTGTAAAAGATACCTGCACCCTCATGTTCATTGCTGCTGTATTTACCACAGGAAATACATGGAATCAACCCAAATGCCCAAAAGTAGATGGCTGGATTAAAAAGATGTGGTACATATATACAATGGAATATTACCCGGTAGTCAAAAAAAGATGAACACATGCCTTTGCACAGCAACATGGATAGAGCTAGAAGGGATCATGCTTAGTGAAATAAGCCAGAAAGAAAAGGAAAAATACCTGATGGTTTCACTCATAGCAGGAGTATAAAGGACCAGGAGAGAAAATAATAATAATGAACAACTATATACCAGAGACATTTTACAGGGGTGGAATGGGGAATGGGATCAAAAATGGGGTGGGGGGGAGTGTACTGACTATGGTGATGGCACATGGGTGATTTGGTGATGGGCAGCCCACAGGGATTACAACTGAGATGGGAAAAGGCACAAAATGATGTAAAAATAAACTATTATATTATCTAAAAAAATTGAGCATCTACAAACTACTTGCCACCTAGGTATTTGGATTTTAAATTTTTCACTTTTGGAGGTTATTACTACAAATTCCTCCAGTCTCCTTGAGGAAATTTGAACAGCATCAGAGTTGGAATAAAAAAAAAAATCATTCCTTCCCCCAAACTAGCCTGCCTCTGTGCCAAGGCTTGCTAAGTGCTATCTTATCAAACTTTTTATATGCATTCAATTTTGTCAGTGGCTCAGCATCTCTACCCTTGAATGTTGGGGGTCTTCTTAGACTTCCCCTGCCCCTCACCTTGTTCTCCTAAGTGAAGAAGCCTAATGATTCTTTTTTTATGTTGCCATTTGTCTCCCTTTGGGCTTTTTGTTTGTTTGTTTTTTAAGATTTATTTATTTATTCATACAGAATAAATGAGGGTGAGAGGATTCACCAGGAACAGAGTGGGGAGCAGAACAGGCAGATCGATGAAATACACTGCTGAGGGGAGCAGCGGGCGGGTCAGGAGAGGTCTGCCTCGCCATGTGGACTCTTCCAGGGCAGGCGGGGATCAAACTCCTGCTGAACTGGTTTAAGTTTCTTTGTGCTGTACTTTAAGTTTCTTTCCCGCTGCGCCACCAGGGAGGGCCTGTCTCCCTTTGATTTTATTCCTACTTTTACCATTTTATTTCAGATTCTCCTGTGTCTTCAAAAGGAGTTTGTTTATACACTCTGTTATATACAATTTTAAAGTCTAGTCTAGATTCTCCCACTATTCTAAAATCCAAGTAATATAATGAAAAAGACACTTTGTGCTATTTGGGAATTTGAGGAAAGTGTTAACAATTCACTTCGTTAAGCACATACACACCTCTGCAGTGAAATTATCCTCCTGACAAGTAAAATCTTACCTTTTTACATGCTAAATGAATTATATCTTTAAAGAAAGAAAAATTTCTAGTATTAAATCATTACATCTACTTGTACCAATTTAAGACATCTTAACTTTTATGCAATGTTTCATGAAGCTGTACTCATCCAGTGTTTCACAAGCTTCAAAACTAATTTGATTTCAAAGTCTTAATCTGTATTTTTTAATTAGATTGAAAAAACCTGAAGAGCTTTAATCCATGCATAGATAAAATTTTGATACATAGCAAAGATAGCTCTACAAGTAAAGAAAAACAAAAGAAGGAATGATTTGAATACACTGATTTTAGGGAAATGGTTACCATGTGGAGGGGAAAAAAGAGATTGGACTTCTAAAAGCATATGGTGTGACACACAAAAGCATATGGTGTGACACACAAAACAGATGAACTAAAGACATAAAGGTTTAAAACAGCAACAACAAGAAAATGTATGCTCCTGGAGAGAGAAAAGAGGTTCTTAAATATTACACACACAAACACATGCAATAAAGGAAAAGGATTGAAACCTTGAATCAAATTAAGAACTGGTATTCACTGAAAGGTACAGAAATACGTAAATGCCCTTCAACCAAAGACTGTAGGAAAACCTGCAATTGAACAAAATGAGGTACTCACTGAACAAGGAACATACACCATTAGGTGCTTCAGTAGGAGGGTATTGGATTTAAGGAGATAGTCTAAGGGGGAGAGGTTTCCTTATAGATTGGATCCTTTGAGAAAATGAGAGTAATTCTATAATTCAGTAAATAAGTAACTCTATATAGCAGCTTCCTAGCAAAAAACAAGTCAAATAAAAACCTGAAAACAAGTCAAATATCTATCAATTGTTACATTCACCAGCAAAATATCACACAACAGTAAAAATAAATTATAGCTATATAGTGGATGGATGAGTAAAAACAGCAAGTCCTTAAGGAATAATATGCTGATAAAATTTTAAAACTGTACCTGTTTATTAAGGATTCCTGTATATGTGGTAAGATGATGAAGAAAGCAGAAAAAAAGATAATGGTTATTTTATAGGTAAAGGTCATAGCTAATAGAGCTCATTTCCACGAGATGTTTGCTAGAAATGCCAATTCCAAGACCTATTAACCAGAAGTTCTGGAAATGGGGCCCAAGAATCTATTTTAACAAATCCACAAGGCAATTCTGATACACAGTTAAGTTTGAGAACTAATAGGTTAAGGAATAGGTTTCACTGGGGTGAGGGAAAACTTAACAAAGCCAGAAAAAGATACAGTGTTCTCCATCATCCTGAGAAGCACACTGGAGCTCGAAGAATATTCTGAATCCAGTGGGTTTGTATTACAAAAGAGGAATTCCAGCCCTCTGTTCTCCATTCTTATAGGTCAGAATGAAAATTATCAGTAGGAAAATTGCCAGAGTAACAGGCAGACTTGGTTTAAGTGACAGCGATTTATAAGGCTTGTCTGAAACTACAGCTACCTGTATATGAACAACTTGACTCACACGCTACCTGTATATGAACAACTTGACTCACACACGGAAAGTTTTACTTGGAAAAAAGAAATCACCAGTACCATGGGAAGTTGAGTTCAGGCACTGCCCCACCCATTGGAAATCAAGAGGGTTAGCTCCCATTGCCTGGTTCCCTAGGAAAACCCAGAGAGAAATACCATAGGTCATTTTTGTTTGAGTCTTTTCATTACATCAAAGCATGCTATCAGAGTATCAAAGAAACTGCAAAGTAGTTTCCTAATTTTAGGTAACAGATTTGTACTTATTCATTGTATAATTCATGATATATGTAAAAATACACGTTTTATATGTAACAAATATTACAAAATTAAAGTTTAAAAATCGTAGAGAAGTGTCATTATTTTCTTCTTATATATTGTAAGGTCCTTATGTAGTGAAAATATATATAAAGCAAAAATTAAGTCTAATTATTCTTAACCTGAAATCAATAATTATAATTTTTTTTTCAGGATGCAACTGTCAAATTTGGCTATTGAGAACATTTGAGTTCTATAATTTTTAAAATCACTCTATAACTTCTTAAAGTCTTTTAAAAATTCTTCAAACAAGGTAACTTAGTTCCACTTTGAAATCTGTTCTTTTTGTCTTTAGGCTATATCTCTAGGAACACTCAGTTCTTTTTAATGGAGAATAGTTTTCAAGACCAAGGTTCTAGCCAGTAGGTTTTTAAATGCATTAGTTATTTTACTATTTTAAACTTGGGCCTTAAGAAAAGACAATATGATTTACAATTTAGGCAAGAATGTATAGGTAGAAATCATATAGAGTGTGAAATGACCTTTGCATCATATTCCTTTCATTTGTGGCCCAAAAATCATATATAGATAGATAGGTATTGATAATTTTTCCTATTAAACTTGTTTTAGCCAAAAAATTATTTATTTATAAAAAAGTGCTTCTAGCACCTGATTCAGCTAAGGAATTTGGAAGTCACCACTCCATCCTAATAAGTAAAACAAGATG